TATATATGTATCATAATATGTAAACACATAATATATATATTTATTATGTATATATATTATATATATATGTGAAAAGATAAATATGTCCAAAAAGCATTCTTAACTAAAGTAATTGAACTAATTGGAAGGAAATACAAGAATAAAGTTATGCTGGTAAACAGATCAACATTTGCAAAAGTAGACAACAAATGAAATTTTGTGGAAATAAATCTACATTACAAAAGGCTATGTACCAGCCTTTAAGAGTAAAGTAACTATACATTCACACATACAAATACTTCAAGGACAAATCATTTGATCTCTAGCAGATCAGATTCAATATATTCTCAGTGATTTTTTTCCTACTACTTGTTATACTAGATATATGAACAAAAACATTCTAGGGCAGATTTTACTTTGAGAGCTGACAGAAGGTATGACCCTACAGCCAGTTAAATGTGAGGGAATATTTGCCAGAGAAGTGTGAGTCAGTCTTGTAGGAAGAAGACATGGTCTGATCCAGCTTCCTTGCAGTTGCTCCCGACTCTTGTCTGTAAGCCCGTAATGCCTACCCACCCCTTCAGCAGAGAGGCTTTTCCTCGCCCTGCTGTCCCAGCCTACAGAATGCTCTCCCACCCTCAGTCTCCCCTGCTTTTGGCCGGTTCCTTTTACCAACAGCTAGGGTGCCACCTTTCCCCCAAATCTTTCTCTGACTTCCACCTTCACTCTGTGGACTTTCTTAGTTCCTCAAGTGTTTTTGCTTTAGAATCTGTTCTCCTGTTTGAAATTCAAAACCAGAGTGAAACTCAAGAAATTGGTTTTTTAATAAAGTCAATAAAATGTTAATGAAAAATAATTAAGATCACCACAAAATTTATATGTCAATAAGTAAATAAGGAAAGCAAAATATCACTGAAAACTTGAACAATTCAATAAGACACCTGTTCATTGTACCAACAATGTCATGGAAAAATTAATATAGGAGCATTATTTACTGTTTAACATCTTACATGTACATGAAGTAACCGCGCATAATGGCACAGCTCCTTGGTGTACCCACATAGGTGTGAAGATTAAATTTTCTCTCTTTTTGGAAATCTTGAAAGACTGCTAATGTTTTTCATCTGTTACATGTTTAACTGTAGAAAAAAAGAGAGTAAATTTATAACGTGAAGTTTAGAAATTTACAATGTCAAGCACAATAATATAAAACATGCTGCTATGCCCCTTAGGCAGTAGACTGCAAAACTCAAGATGAAAATGTCCCACAATTTTAAAATAAATGACATACTGAGTCAGTATATTTTTTTCCTTTCTCAAGACTTGAAAAAAATGTACTGCTGATCTTTAAAAAAGAAAGAGAAAGCAAGAGAGCTTTATCAGTTAAGAAACAGTCATCATAGTTAATAATACATGTAACATACCTAATATAGTTATTATAGCACTGTTCTGCCACTTAGTAAAAAATCTTTGCTTCACAAAAAGGGATTCAGACCCTAGGTGAATGGGAATTACAAATAGACAAAAGAAACAATATGAGTAAGAAAAAAAATAATGTGGGGGATTTAACTCAGCGGCACAGCTCCTGCCTGGCAAGCGCGAGGTCGTGAATTCGATTCCCAGTACCGGAAAAAAAAAATAATATGGGTGTATTTGAGTGGCTTATGTATTCCAGGCATTACCAGTTACTTTCTATTACCTTAAGCAGCTTAAATTGGGTTCAGATAGAGGGTACTGAAACACAGATGCCATATATGTGAAGTGGGACCATCAAGAACCGGATCCAAGGAGGCTCCCACAGAGATGGGGAAGAATTTTCAGGATGCATCATTAAGGCATGAGAAGGGTTGTATTAGGCAGAAATGCAAATTTAAATATATCGCTCAAAGAAATAGAATATAGGTGAGAAAGAGAGAGGGAGAGAGAGAGAGAGAGAGAGAGAGAGAGAGAGAGAGCATTTGTGATCTGGAGTGGGGTATATTTAAGGTGCCTTGGGGGTGTCCTCAAATAGTAATCCAGAATGTCTATTCCTACTGCTTCTCAGATCACCCGCCTAGGGGGCTACGTTAGAAAGCAAACAGCTTACATGAGTTTCAAATTGAGAGGCGCTCCCCACTGATATTGCTGCCTCCTTGAGAGCGGAGGTCTGCAGGAGGAAGCACAATTTACAAGTGAAAAGAAGGAGTCCATTCACAGGTGAAAAGGCCAGTTCACTCCTGACAGAGAATTGCCCAAGTGTATTGGTCTTGAAGGAGATAGAAAAATAAAATTTAAACTGGGCTCAAGTTCTGAAACTGCAGTTTTTCCTAAAAAAAAAAAAAAAAAAAAAAAAAAATTAATTTTCTTCCCTTTCCTAACTCTTTATTTCTGAAGACGACTGAGATCATTTGAAGTTTGAATGGATCTGATATCAGAACTTTGAAAGCCTAGTAGCTCCTTATTCCCTTATTAACGTTTTTACAAGGAGCAGAATAAAATTCAGATCCCCAACTTGTAGGACACAACCGAGAGCTGAAGCATAACAACACTGTCTAGATTTATATGCCTAACTGCTACATAGAAGTAAAACGACATGCAGTACCTCAAAGCACTTGGGTTTGCTCCGTGTGTTGGAAGTTTCGGGTTTCCCGCTAAGTGCTTCGATTAATATATCACTTGTAAAGAATCTTTTCAATCCAGACAGATGGGAAATTAACATGTTGCTAAGAGAATTACATCTACAGTTTAGAAGGAAAAACGAGAAAAAAAGGAGCAACAATTGCAAAACAGTGATTCGAAAGAGTTATGTATTGATTCCTGTTGTTAAAGTGGATTTCAATGTACAAAACACCGACAACAAAAATCAATATCGCCTTTCATTTCACTGTGTGCCTTTAAAAACATTATTCGATTTTGCAGAGATGAACTATTTAATTCTGGCCACGTTCCTAACCGTTGCTGCCTTAGTTAAGAGTGCATAGAGCAAGTTGGCAGAGAAAAGTGGGGAGATTCTTACCACTGTGAGAGCTCTGCATCCGCGGATCCGTTCATTAAGCCCATCCTGACAGTGAAGGAATAAATAAAAACTACTGAAGGCTAACGTTTTCTCTCACTCCCAAGTTTCAGACTATATGAAAGTGTCAACCATTCACAAGAAATGGATTTGTTTATTTTAGCTTCCTTGTCCATGGAGGGCGAGCTAAAATGTCCCCAAGATCAAAGAGAGTCCTTTATATTTGTCCACAAAGAACCAGAGAACTTGATAGCCCTTCCTCACTTAGGACCAAGGAGTGCGGTATGAAACGGTTCACCATCGTGTTACTGGATTTCGGGACGCTGGAGTCCCCTTTTAGAAGCGATTTCTAGGTCAGGTCTGCCCCAAAGGATTGAATGAAACAAGCCTAAACTATGGCAGAGATTCACATTTATTAGAGTTAAGAAAATATTTTAAAACAAAACAAAACAAAAAAAACAGGCTTAACAGAGCAAGCTTGGGCCAAGGAGAAAGGGAGAAAAAAATAAAAACAAGAAAATTACAACCTACTAGTGAGGTAGGGTGGGCTACCGTGAGGAGGCAGGCAGTAAGCGCTTAACAGCAACCGTCTCTTTTTCATATTCCCCACGTCGGAGTCACATCGAGGTGGTCATCTTACCAAAAATCTGCGGGAGTTCTCCCGAGAATCTACATGCAGAGTTCCGAGAGCTGCTCTGCGCATGTGTGCTGGGGTCTTGTCACGCCTCCTTCTCCAGCCGGTTTTAGCCATGCCCTAACTACTGTCTCAGTCCTACCTGGTTCTGTCATCTGTCAAAGAAAGAGGCCAGTTGCCTTTCAGACTCATGAGATACTTCAGAACAAAATCACATCAGGCTTCTTTCTTCCCCTGTGAAAGTACTTCTCTTTAGCAAAAGGCATTATGAAAACACAACTTGTTAATGGAGAAGATCTGTAGTACTCCTCACAACTATATTTTTTGCATCATCAGAAATATTTATTTTGCTTTCATAATATAGCTGAAATATCACTCGGGACTAAATGCAAAGTAGTTGAGAATGTTTATTTTCAATATCTATTCTAGAAATACAGTAAGCCCTTAATATTTTTTAAATGTCACAAATATTACAAATACCGCAATACACAGTCCCTTTATTTTATTTTCAACAACTCCGGTACCTTTCTTTAAAGAATGTAAAAGGACAATCTAATCACCCCTAGAGGAAATGTATTTTATTTTTATCCACTCTACAATTTAAAACTTCTTTCAATTTTTCCCCTGCAAGGAAAGTTTAATGAGGCACATTTGCTTGTTTCCATGGTATTTCAAAGGAGGATTACTAGCTGAAGGCAAGAAGATGTATACAAAAAAAAAGAATAAATAATAGCAGTTGCAGCAGGAGAAAAACTTTACTTCTGAAATAAATTCAATAGGTTAGTAGTTATTTATAATCTGTAACATGCCAATCATTCTTCATGTTATTTAAGGACCTGGTTTTCCTGAAGAGAAAAAAAGCAACAAGAGTTCCATCACATAACATTTTGTCACTGTAAAGGCAGAAGTACCACTCTGTGGCAATGACACAAGGAATGTAAACGTGTAATGTAAACATGTACTAATTAAACAAGGTCTGTCTTGCTGATTTTCTTCTTAATTTTTACAAGTATTTTGATAGGGTCTTAATTTAAAAATAAAAAGCAATATAATCAAAGATTTGACTCATACAAGGATACCACATGTATAATTTGTGGTAATAAGTTAATACTATCTTATTCTCTCCCACTATCTTTCTATATTTTTAAGGTCATATGCAAGTGAAGGGCAGATCTTGATGTCACATGTGTCTATCAACACAGGTCCTATGTAACCACCTCCATAAATATTGGCAGGCCTGATAAAGGTTTTATTCCTGAAGAAATTCAACATGTGGATAGCACATGTACTATTACTAAAACAAAAAGGTATAGATCATTAAAAATGTAAACTTTATGAGTTTATCTGCTTCAGCAGAAAGAAACTTGAAGTGAAATTAAAAGGAGTTGATTTCTAATCTTAAATCTTCCCCTTTTTGAAAAAATACAATCTTCAGCCTCAGCTTTCTCAATTATAAAAAGAGGAAGATGCAAATTTTGAATCATTTTTAAATCCAAGTGATTTTTGTTGTAGCTGTTATTTTGCTTTTTAAAGACAAAATCTCACTATTAAGGTCAGGCTGGCCCTGGATTACTATTTAACCCAGCAGACTGGGCTTGAACTCATGGCAATCCTCTTGCCTCAGCCTTCCAAGTGCTGCAATTGCAGACATGCACCATATGCCCTGCTTTAAATCTGGGTGATAAGGCCTAGTGGAATAAAAGAGGGGTCATAATATAGATAGTACAAATGGGGTTGATGACCTACTCCCATCCATTCACCTGACCCTCCAATACTCCATGGCCAGCTCCCTGATCTTTGTCGTAAGGCTTACTACCAGGACAGAGAGATAAGCATGCTGGCTTGCTGCTTCTGCATGAAAGGTAGTCACCTTCTTCACTTGGAGCTCTTTGGAAGTTCATGCATATAGACTGCATTTCATACATCCAGTTATAAAAGTGAATTTGGTAAAGGACATGCGTGATAGATACAGCTGATGTGACTCAGCACCCTTCCAATCACACTGCCAATCATGCTCTGGAACACCCAATGGGAAGCGCCCTAGGCCAGCACCATATTTGAAATTCTTAAACCTTCAGCACTCATCCCATCTTCCTCTCCGCTCACTCCGAGCTTGCCATAGATTAAATACACCTCAATGAACTGTGTTACTCTTTTCTTAGGATCACGTGCCATGTCCATTTCTGTGCTCGTCACATACAAGAACCTCGAAACCAATCCAGGATGGCATCACCCTCAGCAGCCGTCTGATTAAGGTTTAAGCAATGAAGTGAGAGTTGTTGGTGGTAAACGGTACACACAAAGAGGAGCAGAGTAGAACAAGTTCGCTGAGGTCGGCTACCCCGAAGACGGGAGCTCTCACCTTCAGAATGGAGACTGGGACTGTTTTCAAAGAATGATAAAAGAAAACGTTATACAAATATATGGATCTCTTCACAATTATTCAATATACTCTACATATAACTGAAATATAGAGATACATATATATTTTTTTCAGTTAATTTTCTCCAGCAGGAAAACACCTTGTCTGTGGGCTTTAGACCTCTGTTGATTATACACATTGAAACAAAAGCCCTGATTAAAAATTCAGATTCCAGAGTCTCTCGGCAAACTCTCTCTGCCCATTTGAATATTTCATCGACTTTATAAAGAAATGACTCAGATTTCCTTGGCTAGTTGAAATGTCCTGTGGAAAAAAAGAAAGAAAATAACTTATTCAATGAAAGTGTTAAATATTCTCCAATATAGAGAGTTAGCAACTTCTCGGCATGGGTTGAGCTGAATTTCAAAACCATTGTCATTCCTGAGACAACCTGTAGTTTTAAATGACTGGGCTGTCAGCCTTTAAGTTCCCTGCCTTTGCCTTTTCTGCTTTAGTGAATAGTAACAATTACATTGCAAACAGCATGTTATTTCCAACTGTTTTTTTTTTTTTTTGACAGAAATCTTTGTGTTACAAATATTGCAAACTTGAGTTAGTTTGCATGATTCATTTTTTATGCAAATCTTAAAAGTGGAGATTTTTTTTTAAAGCTTCAACAAATTTGGTCTTTAAAATAGTACTGACTTATCTTTCTCAAACATACACAAAGTACCTGATGAGCAGAATGGTTGGGAGGGATTTGTATAGATTTGAAAGCCATTTTTAACATACAATTGTTAGGTTCATACAGCAAGATGTTTTAATGTTTGGCATTCACTGATTAGGGAAGGTGATGCAATTCAGAAAAGGGAACCAGGGAAATAGAGATGATGATGATGAAAGATAGGTAGATAGAGAGACACACAGACAGACAGATACGGTATATGAAATATACATGAAGAAAATATATTTTTTCCTGCAAAGAACTTGTGGCAATGCTCCCATTCTGAAAAGGAATAGACTGATTCATCATAGGTATAAAAAACTGGAAACATCATTTCTAGTTCCAGAAAGAAAAGGGAAATTTTGTGTTAAAAGTATCCTAGGCTGGGGGACAGTACATGAATGACCCAGACCCTTGAAGATGTTTAGCTTTCAAGCTGATTTAAACTTTCAGCAACTACTGAGTCTTTGAAGATCTAAGAAAAAACCAGTAGGATTAAAGCCCATGCTCTGAAATTTTAAAAATAACTTTAAACATATATATATAAATTTCTCAGTATTGCTAAGAAATCCATTGTTCAGAAATCATCCTGTCTAGTTTTGTAATATATGTTTGGGAATTTAAAGCAATTTATAATCCATCCGTATATCTGTACCAGTTTATCTATATTTATCTATCTATTGAGCGAGCACTAGATATGCACAAGGCATTGGCTTTTGCAAAGAGGTATAAGTGGTAGAAACAAATGTTTCAACCCTTCATCAACATTCTCCTAGATGGATTAACTTGATACAGATGTTGTCATGACTGTATGTCCCCGGCCGACCTTTTTGTAGAGCATTTCCTTGAAAATACTCATAGCTGTAACTTTCTCTCTACTTTGGGACGTGACTGTTGCCCCAGCCTCTGTCAGTTTTCAAGCTAGAAATATCTTCCTCCTGGATCTAGAGGCTGTCTCTTTGCAATGGAATAACTTATGGAAACAGTGCCTCCTTCCCCCTGTTCGCGTGAGAGGATGGGAGCGCACTGTCATAAGCAGCAACTAGCAGACACAGAAGCAGTGTCACACTGGCCCCATCAGAGCACATCCCGGGCAATTTTAGTGAGACTTCTCCCAAAATACAAATTTTAGAAGGGGACCTGGGCATGTAGCCACCTGTAGAGTATGTGCCTGAGCATGACGCACACACCACACACACACACACACTCACACACACACACACACAGCCTTCAAACTTTTGGATGGCTAGGTAGAATTGAGTTCAACTTCTATCTCCTATTGCAATAGTTTTAAACAAAGTCTTCCTTTCTTGTGTACGTATACCAGGCAAAGTGTCCTTTGTTATCTCAATAAATACAAAATCTTAAGGAAATAAAGTAACGTGTATTGTCTTAATAGAAGATAATCCTTAAATTTGTTGTTATAAGAAAAGTAATGTAGGGGTAGAAAACAGTGATTACACAGCCTCCTGTTTTATGCCTCAGGGTCTATCTACTTCCTTCAAGTCTAAGAGTGTGCAGCATTTGCTCTGACTGTTCGGGGTGGTACGGCATGTTGGGGTCTGATGTGCACAAGAACTCCATCCAAAATGATGGCCTCTCATAGTTTTGTTTAACAAAGTCAACATTGGTCCTCCGTGCTTACTGTGAACCCTTGACACATTCAAAGTATGATTTCAGCACTGAAATTCACAGCGTGTTCTCAAATATCAACCCACATATCATCCTAAGTTTCTCTTTTCTTTGATCTATTATATGATTGGTGCCAAATACTCTTGTTTCTTAGATTGTCCTATCTGTTACTTAAATCTTCCTTACCACTCAAAACCATCTGCAACTATAAAGTTACCATGAATATTAACATGGTAGGCTATCCAACTTCATTTCCTAATGTCTCTAATATTTCAGGAAACTTTACGCAAACAA